AGTGTAGGTTGGCAGGCATGCAGGCAGGTAGGTAGGTATTATGTGTAAGTATTTGCTACACAATTGCACATGGCCGCTGCGTGTGTGGTGTGTGCGTATGTTTATGGCTGTCACTGCATGCTTGAGCCCCTTGCCACTTAAATTGCAATGCACGATTTGGCCCGGTTCAGAAAGACAGCAGACTGCAACAGCATGTTCGAGCTCGGGCGATGTCACTAGTGGCAGCACGGAGAAGAGAGTATCCGAAGTGACTTGCCCACACAGCCCATGACATCACACCTGCACAGCGTTCCTCCTTACTCAGCCACGAACCCCCTGGCATCGAACAGGAAAGTGTGGGCAGCACGGATCGCACCACGGCAGATGAGGCTCTTTGCACTGGCGTATTCGCTTGTGGGCGCCGCTTCCACGGAATCCTGCATTCGGACGTGAAGCGAAGTTGCCGAGCCTAGAGATTGTGCCTCGCCGCCTCGCAGCTTTCGGCTCTCTTTCTCAGATGCACACATGGACATTCTTCCCCGCCTTTCAGCCCGGGAAGAAGCCCTCACCGTGCCTAACCCAACCCCGCACCAATTCCTCAAGAACTTGACAGTGCCCTGCCACAAAATTAATATAGATTGGCGTCCGCGCGCCTTTGCAGCCAGCAACTTGCAGGAGACCCTCCTGAGCGTGTCACAGATTTGATAGGCCATGCATTTTCTGAACCTCTGACCAACATCGTTTTTTGCGTGGACTCAGTGCGATTAGATCGGCGAAAGTGTAGTTCCATTCTATCGTAGACACTGCCAAGACCCCTTGCAGGATGTCGATTGCACTCTTGGACCTGGCAGAGGGGCACAGGCTGGGGTTTGCAGGTTGAGCACCTTCATGGCTTGACTGCATGGTTTTGGGCTGTTCGGTTCCAAGGCGCTCGACTCATGGGCTCAGATCCTTGAGCTTTTACTGCGGTGCTGAAGACGAGTTGCTTCTGTGCCCTTGCAGTTGCCCCAAGGAGAAAAGGGATACAGTAGCGTCTGGTGGTTTTGGACCCAAGATGCCTGTAATGGCTCGACACGAATGTGGAAGTCCGCAACAAGCAAGCCGTGCAAAGCCAGAAAGCCAGAGGAAGCTTGAGTTTGGGTAGTGGCAGGCGCCGGTAGTCACAGAGTCGTAGTCGTAGCCGCAGTCCCAGTAGTAGCCGTCGTACTGCTGCTACTACTACTACTACTACTACTACTACTACGGATACGGACTACTACTACTACTACTACTACTACTACTACTACTGCTACTGCTACTGCTACTGCTACTGCTACTGCTACTCCTACTACTGCTACTGCTACTACTACTACTACTACTACTACTACTACTGCTACTACTACTGCTGATGCTACTGCTGCTACTGCTACTACTGCTACTACTACTGCTACTACTACTACTACTACTAGTACTACTAC